GAGCTGACACCCCTGGTCCACTGCAACAGTGGGGACGGGGGATGGCCTGGGGGGTGCACTTTGCTGTAGCTGCCCAGCTAGCACCAACCCCAGCGGGAACAAACTAAAAGCAATTTATTAGGGCCCGGTAGGAGTCACAGGGGTTCTGCCTACAAGGCAGGATCCCTGCAGATGTCGAGGGGATGGGTGGTGTAGACCCCCTTGTTCTGCACCACCGCATGCGATATGAGCTTCATGTTACTGCAGGACTGATTCCACGTGGACGACTTCACGGCTCGCAGATTTGCCTTCACTCGCTCGTACGCCTGCATTGGGCACAGACACGTTGCTACCCGTTAGTTATGTAACCACCGCCCCCTGTCCTCGTGCACTCAGCTAAGGAGGACCCAAGGCAGGTGGCAGGGCTCAGCCTTCGGTGCTGGCACCTAAAATCTGCCTGTGCAGACAGTGCGGCCTCCACGCCACAGGGCAGCCTCTGCACCACAGCCTGGCTGCTGCCAGCGTGACCCCCAGGCTCTCCCCGCGCTCTTGCTGACACGTTGTGCCCATCCTACCGCTAGCACCACTTGGAGGGGTGCCCCAGGGACAGCGCTGCTTCCACAGCAGGGTCTGAGGGAGCCCGGAGCCCTGCTAAGGTGCAGGGCCAGAGCTGACAGCCGAGCTCGCTCCCAAGACCTGCTCCCAAGCGACGGCTGGTTACTCCCTCTCCAGGGGCACATTTCTGGGCTCTGTGTGACGGCGACGGGCAGTACTGACGCTTCTGCTGCTCACAGATTAGAGGGGAGAAAACTCTCCTGCCTGTTGCCCTAGCCCAGCCTCAGCACAGACCAGGGCTCTGCTCAACGTCCTGCCTCTCATTAGCCAGACCCAGGATGGTGCGTGCGAGTCAGGCTGCCCCGAGCACTCGCGAGCAAGGCCTGACCCTTACAATTGCACCTAATCGTGGGGTGGGGAGAATTCAGCTCCATCTGCTAAGCAGTTCCTACCCTAGAGCAAAGGAGCGGAGCCACATCAAAGGGCAGGAAGCTGGAACAGGAGTGGTAGCACAGGAAGGAGGAGAGCCAGGGGAGAACTGGGGCAAGGGGGGGACATTAAACACGCTGTGAACATTTCATGCAAGAATGAAGCATCCTGCGTGTTTTCTGGATGATGAGGCAGCTGCAATGCAAGAGTAGAGGGTACTTGCACAGCACATGGAGGCTGCAGTGGTACAATGGTATGGTGGGACAAGGCAGCACCATCTACAAGGCACATATGGAATATATAACACGCCAAAGCAAATGAAGCAACCCAACTCTCTCATCCCCATGCCCACCTCCTGGCACCACGTCCGGCACAGCAGCTTCTCATGTTCGGCAGACACCAGCTTCAGAGTTAAGGCTCGGCTGGCCCTGAGGAGAGGAGGTGACTGCACTGAGGGCTGCTAGCAAAGAAAACTCCCTAGCTAGAAAAAGGCTGGAGCTGCAGATGAAATCCTACCAGCAGAGCACTGGGACAAAGCAGTGCCACTCTATCCGAGTACCTATGTGCCATCCACATCCACCTCTTAGGGCAAAAATGAGTCCTCCCACGGCCATCCCAAGACACCATGAAGCCCGCTGCTGGGACCAGCGTAGAAGAGGAGCTGTAGCTGCCTGGGCCAGGCTAGGAGCTGCTCTCCAGGGGAAGTGCTGCCTCATCCCACTGCACCCTGCAACATCCCAACCCCAGTCCTGCCACAGATGACATGTGGCAGCACCCAGGGGCTCCTGGCTGGGCCAGGAGAAGCCTCCAAGGGCCAAAGGGCCCAGAAGCTCTTCTGGCTTGAGACGACCAAGGCAGCAGCCTGGCAGGGAGGTCCTCCTTCCTCAAAATACCTTCCCTCCCATTGCCCTTGCGCACCTGGAGAGCACCACGGCCATGGCATACATATCTATGGCGGCATCGGCCACGCGCTTCAGGTGGAACTGCTTATCTGGGAAGAGAGGCTGCAGTGAGTGGGTGGCGAGAGCGCTCCTGGGCGCGGGCTCTGCCATCGCCCCCGCGCCGGCCATCGCGAGGGCTGGCAGCACCCTCGTGGTGCCCGCGGGGCAGAGCCCTCAGAGCTGGTGCTTCAACGGCCACAGAGGAGCACCCACCTGGGAGCCTGGCACCCAGCGTCAGCAGGAGGCTCTCCACGGCTTCCCCCAGCAGGTCCACAGCCGTCGTGAGCTGTGGGAAGAGAAGGGAAGAGAGAGGGGCAGCGACCTGTGAAAGCTGTGACAGGGCCGCAGGGAGGGTGTCCAGCAGCCCACGAGAGGCTGCACCCTGGCCCTAACAGCTCACACAGGGCAGGAGGGCAGCCGCAGGCAGCCTTGATCTCAGCCTAGGGATGAGATCAGGTCCAGACCTTGACGTCACACCTAGAGTAGCCTCAAAACTGCCCAAACTCTCCTCTGGCCCCGAGGCAGCGCAGATAGGCCAGTGCTCTGGGCACAGCCTCTGCCTGTGGAACAGGGCAGCACATCCAGCCCCCGGGCTGCAGCTGCCCAGGGCTCCCCGACCAGCCCCAAGGCTGCTTTTATCCCCGGACAACCGTTTGGCCAGATTAGGGCACTGACTCTCCAACTTTGACACGTGGGCAAGATCCCTGTAGTGGTTGCACCTGGCAGGTTTCCTAACCACAACAGCTAGCTCAGGGGGCTTTGTAAGCAAATTTGCCCAGAGTGTAACGTAGTCGCTCCTTGTTGCCTTTTTTTGCCCAAATATTTTCAGGAGATACACGAGATGTGCAGATACCACAGACCACCCTGCTTGTCCCCTAGGTAGTAATGGGGAGGAGGAGCCCTTGGTTTCAGAGCAGAGCAGCTCCTGAGCCTGGGGATTCAAGTTTAAAGCAAGCACCAGGAAAAGCTGCCCATGCAAAGAGCGTCTTGGATGATTCGTCTCTGTGTCAGGACAGGTCCCAGAGAAAGATGCCCCTGAGCCTGGGGGTCCTGCCAAGAGAAGGTCCAAGGACAGGGTTGCTCAGCCCTGGCAGCACCGAGGGTCTCGAGCACAACAGCACAAGCAGCTTGTTTCCACATACAAGCTGCAGCTTGTAGGATCTGCACAAAACCCCATTTCCTTTCAAAGAGAGAGCAGAAGAACAAAATTGAACTTGTAGAAGAGCCAGAGAAAGGGAGGGAAGGGGGGAATTTTCCTCTGTTTCTAGGAGTGGCAGAAAGTGCTTTGAGACCTGTTCATGCAAAATGGTGTAAAATTACAGTTGTGACACCCAAGGAAATAAACAAACCCTGGAAGCGTGAAATGGCCTGTGGGATGTGGGAACTCAGTCCAAGGCAAATGCACAAAAGATGTGCAGGTGTGCAGATGATTCATATATATACAATTAGTAAGTAGCTCTCTACCCTGGAAAATATCCAACTATATATTCAAAATGCAGGAAACTAAAGAGAAAGATTTAAGAATTTGTAAAACTAAAAAAAAAATATATGTTATTATTCAAGGGATGAGCCCTGCAGTGCAGGAAGCACAGCAGTTCTGGCTCGGCTCTGAGGAAGACTCTCCTACCTGGACTGCACTGCTGTTGAGGTCTGAATGAACAAGTCCCTGGAGAGAGAAGCCAGAAGAGATCCCTACTTTTCTGAAAATAGAAAAATGAAATAGAGAGGGGAGGAAAAAAAAAAAAAAAGACAAACAGGGGCAGAACGGAGAGCAAAACAAGTCTCTGATGAGAGAACTACACTGCAAAGGCACATCTGCACCAGAAACAACACTTTGGCCTCAGAGTGTTTTGGCCCCGTGGACACGCTCACTGTAAAAACTCGAGTTCAGACTCCGAACTTCATCCTAGCTCTCCAGGATGGAGGGTCCCGCACCAAGGCCAGCCCTATGCTACAAAAGCCAGACTTTCTTTTCCGGCACATCTGCACCAGAAACAACACTTTGCCCTCAGAATGTTTTGGCCCTGTGGACACGTTCACTGTAAAAACTCGAGTTCAGACTCTGAACTTCATCCTGGCTCTCCAGTACACCCCAGAAGGGTCTCGCACCAAGGTCAGCCTTATGCTACAAAAGCCGAACTTTCTTTTCCAAGTTGCTGCCCTGTTGCCACAGAGCACAGCCGGGGTGTGAGCAGCCTCCCCTCGCTCCTGCTGGCAGCGGTGCCAAGGCAGCAGTGCCAAGGCGGCAGCAGCGCTGCCCAGCGCGTGCAGGGCGGGTGCTGTGCTCCAACACCCGCTCCCAAGGCTGAGCGCCCGCAGCCCGCGTGCTCCCGAGGCTGCCGCCCCGGCAGAGCAGCTCCCTCTGGCACTGCGCGTCCAGGAGCTCCAGCTCTGCTCCCACACGGCTACTCTCCCCTCCTGGTGCTATTTCTGTGCTCCCAGCCAAGCCAGGCCCACAGGGACAGCAGGGCCTCGGCGCCGCTTACCGCTTCGCTCTCCACCCCACTTCTCGGAGGACAGCGCGCACGTTCCCAAGCGGGCTCATGAGGCGCTTCTGCAGGTTCTTTAAGCAGCTTCCAGCATACTGAAACACATTGCAAATGCTTTAAAGATCCTCACTCGGCAAACTGGCTGCTCCTACTGCACAGAGGCTTCCTGTTCCCCTGGAGGAGGCGCAATGATCAGCTCACAGCATTACCAGGTCTGCCAACTGGATGGCCAAGTAAGACTATTTAAAACCTATTTAGTGCAGGAGTGCATTAGGGCAGTTACACTGTTGTATCATATTTGCTATGACCTATATGCAACCTACATTCTCCATGATAGGTATTTATAATGTGCTTGTAACAACAGCTTGACTCGCTGAAAAAGAAAATAATTAATTGCATTAAGAAATGAGGGAAAAATTACATCACAGATTAGGCTATTGTCCCCTGTGCAAAAAGAATAATTCATATTCACCAAAACCCTTGCAAAGTTTTTTGCTTTCACACTGATGATCTGGGATGCAGAAGCCAAGGAAAAAAGGTAGGGCAGCAGAGGTCAGAGCTGGTATTCCAACCTGCCTATGGGACCAGGCCTGCCCATCCATGTGCTGCTGTGCAGATGTGGTAGAGCCTGGCCTGTACACGAGCACAGCAAATTCACGTAGCACTTTTCTGCTTCTGTGGGCAACAAGCATCACTATGTTGTAGCACTGTCAGGGCTTGACACTGCAAAGACACAGGTGAGGATCAGCTTGCTGATAATAATCCTGGGCTTTTATACAGCACTTAATGCTGAGCACAGTCTGTGAGCTGAGCACAGGGAAACGGAGAAAAGCACTGACATGTGAGATGGCTGGTGAAGTGACTTGGGTCCTGTTCCCAAATCCTGCTGCGTGAGCAGTCCAGAGATGGTCTTCAAGTTACTGAAATCATCTCAGTCACAAGACACCAAGTCCAGATGTGGCTTCAGACCCTCGATACCCACCTAGCCCTCACTCCTCCTCCTCAGCACTGCTGCGCAAGGGAGTAGGCTCAGGCCCCTTCATGCATGAGCTGGGAAGTGTGACTCTCTATGGAGATCTGAGGGTGGCACTTTAGCCCCCGGAGTGTCTAATCTTCCTCAGAGGGACTGCATGAATGGCCTTGGGGACACCCTTCAGGCCCTGCCCCAGCTGCTAGGGTGGTGGAGACTGCAGCAGGACACTGCTTCCTGCCAGCCCCGGGGTCTGTACTTGAGCAGACCCGCAGCCCTGCCCAGCTGGCTTGGGGCACCCATGGCACCCATGGACTCCTGGCCACGCTGCCAGCGCCCACCACAGCGAGGCCCGGAGCGCTCACCTGTCCTCCCACAGCTGGAGGCCCTGCAGCCTTTCAGGAGGGAAAAGCCCCTCCTCAGAGAGCACTTTGGGTCCTCACCTGGACGCCTGTCAATGCCACAAACAGCCGGAGGATGTCGTTGGTGCCCTCAAAGATGCGGAAAATCCTCAAGTCCCTCATGATCTTCTCAATGCCTGCCTCCTGCAACAAGGGGGATGTTGCAGCCAAGCAGGATCTGCTGCTGTTTGGGTCATGGCAAGGCAGGGACACAGAGCACCAGGCACTGCTGACCATGGAGCTTCACCTGGTGCCCTTCGCTCTCCCCTGCCTGGCTGCCAGCCCACCTTCCTTTACCTGCATGTATCCCATTCCTCCGAGGACCTGGATGACCTCATCCGTGACATGCCAGGCTGCTTCCTAGAGATAAAAACACCAGGGAGCAACATGGGAACATATCCCACTTGAATGCAGCCACTGGGAGCCTTCACCCCAAAGGCTCTGCTCTTGCTCCCCGTCTTTGCACCTCAGCTGCCTACGGTATTGCTAGGCAAAGGTGTGAGGCGAGCTGGGCTAGTACTGGGTTACTAGCAGCAGGCAGTCATCCTGGGACAGCCAGGAGGGCCTCTGGCTGCATTTCCACCCGAGCCGTGCCACAGTCATCAGCGCCAAGGGAAGCAGGGCTGGCAGCCTGGGCTGTGGGACATCCCAGGGCCTCACGCAGGGAGCAGTAAGGCAACTGGTCAAGGAGGGAGCTGCCCCGGCCTTCAGCATCACACCTCCAACACAGGGACCCTGCAGACCTCACACACTCACAGACCCCCAGCAAGAAGAGATGCTGAACCTACAACAGGACCCTTCCCAGGGACAAATAGCCACTGCCAGACCCTGGAGCTTGTCCCTCCCCAACAAGGGACGGCAGCAGAAGGCAGTGCTCAGGCCCTGTCAGCAGAGATGTGACGTGTTGTCATTGAAAACACTCACTGAAGCAAAAATCTTGCTGATGGCAGCTTCCAGCTTGTAGTCGGGCACCTTCATGTCCATGTTGGCACTCAGCACATAGGCCATGGACTGCGGAGGAGCTGCTGGTCAGGCCATGCCCCCCAGGACAAGGCTTGCATGCCTTGGGAAGGCACGGCCATGCAGAGCACAGCAGGACGGGCCTCCACTAAGCCGGGGGTTGAAGCACTTCTCACCTCCGTGACGTAGTGGAGCATGGCCATCCGGGCAATCTTCTCCTGAATGGCCCCGTAGTTGCTAATCTTGTCTCCAAACTGCGTGCGGTTAGCGGCATGGTCTGCCTGGCGTTACACAAGAGCGCGTTACCGCAGTGAGGGAGAGAGGAGGAGGAGGAGACACGGGGCTCACTGAAAATGGAATTTTATCAGGAAGCAGCTGCAGAGCTGTCCCTATATTTCCACCTGAACAGGGCTTGGAAGCAACCTGGTCTTTCCCTCCTGGAGCCTGCAAAATCCCACCTTGTTGGTTTTTCCGATTTCTGACAGAACTCCCAGAGTTCTGTCTTTTGGTTCAGGTCACCTAAGGTGGCATTTTGGAGTGGATCAGGTGTGAGGTTCCAAGGTAGCAAGTTAAACTGAGGCTGGGAATGCCCTGACAGACTCTTCCATTAGGACAGCCCATCACTTCCAGCTGCCACCGCTGAACCCCCTAACCACACACCATATGTGAGGGAGAATTTTAAGCCTCTCTGTTCTGAAGGACCAAATCACATGACTCAACACGGCCTGCAGACCATAAGGACACAGGCAGATGTGTTTGGCTGTGCCCATGAATAGCTGCACTGAGGCTACCGAGTCGGACTGCACATGCCTCGCACTGAAACACAGGCCTGAGTGTTTTCTAGAGTGGAGTTTACATTAAACAAGAAATAAATAACAAATTCAGTAGTCAATGCTCTGACTTTGTTTCAATGCATAGTTACACTCTGAGATGGCACAGAGATACCATTCATGTGAGTTTGAATCAAACAAGTTAAGAGATTTGTCAGAAATACTGGTTTAGACAGTGTTAAAGATGCTTTTATCTATGCTTCACTCTCTAGGGATATTAGCCAGGCATCTATTTCAGGGCAAAGAGGCTTGGGATGAGACAATACATGCTTTATTCTACTAGCTTAAATGTTTCTGCAAACACATTTGTGACTGTCATGCCATGCATGCCCAGCCATAATTACTCTTGCACAATATTTGTTACCCATGGAATAGAGCAGTTTCAACAGTGTCACGGGAACTTCCTCAGGGTGGGAGCCTGGGCCTGATTTGGAGTCTCCAAGTGCCTGTGTGCAGACAGAGCAGACGGGAGATCCTGGTCCCCACCAGCGCCTGCAGGCAGGGAGAGCCTGCCAGAAGCAGGGGCAGGACCAGAATGTGCCAAGTTTCCATATCCACCTCCTGCAGTACTCGCAAGCCATATTCCTGCTCCTGATAGCACCTGCAGGTAGCCACGGCTGTCCCCAAAGCTTGAAGGAACCAGGCAGTTCACATGTGAGCGTGGAAAAGCGCCATAGTAGTGAAAACCAGGTTAAGAAGAGTTTTATAGAGCACAGACACAGTCTTAGGGCCTCACTTGTCAATTAAGATGTGCAACAAGAAAAGATGTAGAAGGTGCAAGAGGCTGGGGCTTAGGGCAGAGGCTGAACGCAGCAGAGGGAGAGGAGGATGGAGAAACGCTTCCTGTGGGCGTACAGGGCCTGGCAATAAATCCCCACGTGAGTAAAAGCAGCTGCCAGCAGCATCTCTGCACCAGTGCTGACCCCAAGGAAACCAATGGGACTGGCAGACCACCGCCCCACCTGATGGCACAGCCACATGCCTCTAGGCCACCATGCAGCACGGAGCCAGGCCACTGCGCTATCCAACCTTCAAACAGGAGTAACTCACGGCTTTGACGATCACTCCTCGCATGGTCCCGGCCAGGGCAGATACCATCCCAAAACGGCCGTTATTCAGGATGTTCATTGCCACCTTGAAGCCTTTCCCAAGGCCCCCTAGCAGATTTTCTGCAGGCACTTTCACATTATCAAAGTGAACCTGAGCTGTATTGGAGCACTTGATCCCCATCTTCTTCTCTGGAGGGCCACTACCAAAACAGAACGGAAGCACACAGAATAGGACTGAAGGTAGAGGGAGGAAGGCTCTGGAAGGCCACAAAACAAACGCGTACATTTTGTGCATGGCTTTTTGAATGTACCATTTCAGCATTTGCACAGGTATATGGAGGTCCCCAGTAGGGATGAGAGAGAGTGAGAAGGATATTTGCAGTTGCTCAGCACAACTTAACTCACCTGGCCTTGGAGGCTGCCTCAAGGCACATCCAGATGTGGGAGCATGGGGCAGGGGGGACAAGAGCCTCCTTCACCTCCCAGTAACTTGCCCCATCCGCTGTGCACAGGCAGGGTGGCAGTGGGCAAGTGGGAGGAGGCATCTTGTGCTCCATGAGGTGAGGGGGAACGAAGGGGCTCTGCTCCCCGCAGGTGCCGGGCGCAGAGCCTGGACACCTGCCAGGATGAGCACACAGCTGCCAGGGGTGCCCACGCACAAGGGAAGAGCTACTGCCCGGCCCGGCATCGGGAGCGAAGCAGCACGGGCCTACTCCAAACACCCACTGGGTGTCTCCAGCGGGACGCTGCGACTGCCACTCTCCTCCCTGCAGTCAGTGATGGAGCGGCGTGGCCTTAGCAAGGGGCATTCCCTATCCTTATTTCCTCCCTTTTTAGTCATGCTTCTTGGAGCAAACAGCTGCAGCGTGCAAGGGTTGGGGTTAAATGTCATTAAGAGCAGCAAGGGAACGTGCTTTACTGGGCACAGAACGGTTGAGCACCTCTGAGCAGCCAGAAATCAGGCAAGAAATGCAAGGGCATGAGGTGCTGGCAGTCTGCTGACCGATTGCCATAGTAACTCTAGTTAAAGTCTCACCAAGAAAACAGCTTCTTACACAGCATTTCACCCTCCAAAGTGACAAGTACCATCAGCATCCCCTGAAAGCAGGATCGCTCTGTCAGGACAGCCCTATGGTATGCAGGACAATGCGGAGCTTCCCACATGCCACAGGTCCAGGTCACAGGGCATGTGCTTGCTGAGTGATGGTTAACTTCAGTGCAGCCAGGGTGAAAGCAACTGGCAGTGTTAATGGCTCCCCGTAAGGTTGGCATCTCCCTCCCCAAGGCTATAGAAGTTCAGAGAACTTTATAAGTCATCTTTAGCAGCCTTCACAGGGACGGCTAGACACTGATGCTATTTTTTGTTCTACCACAAAACAATCTTTCAGCCTATGGAAACGCAAAGATCTAGCAGCTTATCCTGACAGCAGTTACAAGAACAAAATGAGCCAAACAGCACTGGGTTGTGATGCTTATGATTGGCTTTTAAAAAAAAAAAAAAACAACTTTCCAGCATGGACAGAATAGTGACAGAGGTGCCTTGGCTAGTACAGGAGCTTGGCACAGGCAGAGTGATTTGCTCAGGACATTTAGCAAGCCAGTGTCACTGACAGGATCAGAGCTGCTGGACCTCGGTCCTTGACAGAGGTCTTTACATCATGCTGTCGACACAGACCAGCTCTTACCTGGTTACTCCCCCAAACGCTCGCTCCACGATGAAAGCAGAAATTCTTTCTTTCATTTCACCTGTTTCCACTTTTATCGGTGTCTTGGCAAACACAGTGAAGATCTCAGCTATCCCCCCGTTACTGCAACACAAAGCAGACAACAAAGCAGGGAGCATCTTCTCTGTGCAGCCTACATATCATTGCATTGGTTCTCTTTTTTCCATAGATTTTGTGATTCTGTGGCCTGCTTGTGCATCATTCAAGGTTGTTTTACGAGGGATAACAGCAATAAAAACAACCAGCCTCTCTATAGCTGACAAGAGCCCACCAAACTGGCCTTACAGAAGCAGACACTGTCCGACCTAAGCTCTGGGGTAGGACCCTTAGCTGAGGACCAGGACATGCCTGTCCCAGGCCTCACCTGATCCAGATCTTCTCTCCATTGAGGGTGTAGAACCTGCCACAGGGGCTGAGGTCGGCCACAGTGCGGATGGAGGCCGCGTCCGAGCCGCTGGTGGGCTCCGTCAGGCAGAAGGCAGCTACGGCCTCCCCTGCGGTGGGCAGAGAGCAGCGCGCTGGGCACAGGCTGGCGCCCCGCGTGCCCTGGGCCCGGCGCTTGGGCCGCGCTGCGACTGCTGGCACAGCAGGCACCCAGCAACGAGCGCGGGTGTGTGGCAGGACTGGGGAAAGGGGCGGCAGCGCAGCACCCAGCCAGCCCAGCACCACGGGCCCCTCGGTGGGCGTTTGTCAGGGGGCCTGACCACGCTGCACGCCCATGTCGCCTACAGCTCCTGCAGCGACAGCTCTGCTGAGGATGCCGGGCACATCGGCACCAGCGGGAGATGCGAGCCCAGCTTGTTGGCTGCAAGGCCCTGCCTGGCAGCCCCCTGCAAGGAACAACCCCCGGGGCCCAGCGTGTGTCCTACCAGAGGCAATGGGGCAGGTGTACTTCTCCTTCTGCTCCGGGTCCACTACGCGTGCGTACTGCGGGAGAGGGCGCAGCCTGCTCCAGACGTGCCGTGTGGTGCCCCTGCGTGCTCCAACAGTCGCCCTTGCCAGCCTGCGGGCAGCAGGAGGGTCGGGGCAGCAGCAGCGTGATGCTGTGGCATCAGGGAAAAGGTGCCCCCAACTCCTAGGCTGCAGACCTGGACCCACTGCTGCCATCAGAGTCCTGTAACTTACCTGCTGTCCCCTCTACACTGAGAATACAGCCCCACCTGCACAGGGCCCTGGCCAGCAGGCTCCTTACCTGGCTGTTCTTCAGTCCAGTGCCCCCCAGCTCCACAGGCACCTGCAGCCCAAAGGCTCCCAGGTCTTTCAGCCCTGCCAAGGTAGCCTCCTCAATGGACTCCAGCTTCTCATTTGCAGCAGGATTGTTCACCTCCTTCAAGGAACCAGAGAGGATAAGCAAGGGCCTGATACCAGCAGCAGCACCTGGACACTGCAGCCTGTAGCAATGAGGGGCTGCAGGGGAAAGCCCGAGTGTCACAGGGCATGTGTGTCCTCCCTTCACAAGTCCCCCCTTCTTGTGTTCCCTTCTGGCTCAGGAGACAACTTATACAAAGCCCTCCACTGCTACAGGCCACAGGGACTCCACAGTATCTCAAATCATGTCAGGACAGGCTCAAACTAGTGCTATGGTTATCTGGGACAACAGTAAGGAAGCGCTTATATGTGTGTGTGTGTGTGCACATACACGTAGAATTGCATGGGAATTTGTGCATGTAAGAATATGCACAAGCACACATGCTCAGGTACACGAGGGCACGCAGGTATATGCGTATTTGCATGTAGGTGTGCTCACGTGCATGCTGCCATTCACAGATATGCAATAGGTGCAGCTGTGCACATGTCTGTGTGAACATGTCTGCCTGCACATGTGCAGGTAGATATTTGTGCGCACATAACTGTGCACATACGGGCACATGTATATGTGCAGGTGTGTCTGAGCATCAGGATATTTCCAGATCCCTGCAGAGACGGAGGATGCTACTGACCTCAAAGAAGCGAGTGCAGGGATGCAGCAAGGTTTGCAGGGACTGCGTTTCCTCCTCTGTAAGAGCTGAAGGAGAATGGCCTCATTAGCAAGGTATCCTTTAGCCTCGTTACCTTATCCAGCACTTGACTCTGCCAAGCGGGGGGAGAACATGTGCTCGATGGTGAGTCAGCAGCACGGCGAGAGCTGCATTACGCCTTGGCTGCTACCTCAGGGGCCGCTGCCAGGAGCCGTTGCATCGTCTCACCCATTTCCTAGAGGGCAGCTGCTCTCCTCGGCAGCGCGCGGGCTCCCCGGACATGCACCCACAACCAAACACCAGGCCCACTCCCGGCCCACTGCACAGCCGTTTACGTCAGTGACACACAGCAGCACCAGCAACGAATGCTTGAGTATGACCCACCTGAGGGGAAAGGGAAAACGTTGGTCGGTACGAGCTGCCCATTGAAGATATTTCTGACAAAGGAGGTGGATTCCTAGAAAAGAGGTGGTGATAAGGCCATGGCAAAGGCCTGCCCTGGCACAGGGGATGCCTGAAGCCAGGAGCCAGCAGTTCAGGAGACTCGGGGCGCGTGACAGCGTGGGGAGACCTGCCGGGGAGCAGCTGCAGAGCCCTGGCTGGCAGCCCCACTCCAGCAGCACGTGGCGAGGCAGCGGCATAGCGAGGATGCGGCTGCCTGCTGTCCCCATGGAAAAGTTCCACGTGTCCCCAGCTGCCCCCTCCTGTTCCCAGAATTGCCCGTCAGCTGCTCTGACGACACCCTGCTCCCAGCGTGTCGGGCGCCAAGGACACGCCAGGAGCCTCTGGACACAGCTCAAGAGGCAGAGTCCTCTCCGCCAGACACAGCGCATGCGACAGCCCTGCCGCTGCTCCCTGGGGCTTTCCTGCAGACAGACAGACACCGGTGCCTGACTTACCACCTCCACGTGGCTGGAATATCCTGCCCTCAGGGATGCTGCAGCACACGGCAGCCTGCGGAGAAAAGGCCACGGTGACTAGCGTGAAGGACCTTCCCAGGAGCCGTGTCAGCCACCAGGACTGCCCGTCCTGCGCTGGAGGGTCCGTTCCTTGGGGCTGGAGCCTGCCTGGCAGCAGGGGCTCCTGCGCTAGGGATCATGATCTGTGTGATCAGAGAAGAGACGAGCAGAATCCTGCCCAGGCCATATGTGATGAACACACCAGCCGCTTCTTTACTGAGGACAGAGAAAGGCCATACTGCACATTCCAAGGGCACAGAGCGAGCAGAGCCCCGCTGCTGCATGCACTCAGTGTTGGGAGGCAAACCACCCTGAGGGAAGGGAACGACCGCCCGGCCGCTTACCACACGTGTGGTTACAGTACCTGCTCGCTGTCTGCGCGGCACACCGTGCCCAGAGTTGCCCTCTGCAGCCCAGGTGCAACTGCAACCTGATCAGGTGGAGCATTTTGCCTCAGAGGCAGCGCTCAGGTCACATCCCTGGTGGGGAGGGGAGGGCAATAGCAGTCAGAAAGCCCATGTGCGAGCCCACAGCGAGATCACGCTGCGCTCCCCAGAACCACGCACAGCTCCTCCCCGTCTTCCCTGGGCCCACCTCTCCTTGACCTGCTCCTTCAGCACCTTCCAGCATTCGTAGACAACCACACTCTGGCAAGTTAACAACCCACAGCACAAAGAGCAGCCGGAGTGTTGGAGGGCCGCTCACGCTAGAGGCCGCGGAACTGCCGGCAGCGCCGCTGGCGGAAGGTGCTGGAACCCTGTGGAGCCACCCACGCACTGTGATGCCACCGGCCACATTATTGCCAGCCCCAGGTGGCACTGGTGGAAGCCACAGGTGCTGGAAGGAGAGAACAAAGCTGGAACAGAGCAAGGAAGCGGCTGTGTTGGACACCCAGGCCAGCCTGCAGCCTGCCCAGCTCCTTGCAAGCAGCACAGACAACCCAGGCTCGAGAGGTTCAGCTTCAAGACACCCAGTAACGGGCACTCAAGCATGACTGGTGTCACTTGCTAATGCCTAAATCTATTGACCTTTCCTGGACTCACTTTTGCTCATCAACAAAAGACAAACCCACACAACCTAAGTGTCCCATAAGCAGTGCTGCGGGCTGGCGGGAAGCTCCTGGAGAAGCACTTCCATGTTCCCGGGGAACACAGCCAACCTCGCTGGCCTGCCCCCTGCACGCGTTCCTGCAGCAGGTGGAGTGCTCACAGGTTACTGCATGTCCATCTCTACATCTGAATAATGATTTGAAGAGTCAGTTCATTCTTATTAAGACACTGCAAGAGAAGGAACTGCACACGGATGGGAGCACGGAGGAGACCTGCATACAAGCCTGTACAGCAGCCTTATGCCTCCCAAGACACTGCTGACAGGGCAAAACTTATTTCACATCACTGTTTACAGGTGAAAACACAGTTCTTACCTTCCTGAACAAATGACTGGGGAAGATGACAAAATGTCTGCACCCCTGTGGCTTTTCCAGCACTGCTGAGAACAAACCGGCTGCATCTGGCTCCAGGCCAAACCCTCGAGGTGGAGCTGGCTCAGTCACAAATTTTCATGCTATTTGCAGCTCTTTTCGATTTGCAGTGCCTGCTTGCTAGCTGAGAAAGTTGCTGGTGTTGGTTCGGGTTTGTTTCTAGTGCACTTCTCAGCTTTGTTGTTGCAAAACAGCAGCCAGAAGGATATCTATTTACACAACACCATGCTGTTCAGGTTAGGATCTCCAAGTTGGAGAGGTAAAACCATCCTGTATTTCCAAAGTCTTCCAGCTTCTAAGATGTCAAATGAGACTCACATTTCAAGGTGCCCGGGATGGGCAGAGCTGGGTCCCCGGGCGGGTGGGCTCCCCTGGGACGAGGCCGCCCTGGCAGCGCTGCCCGCAGAGCAGAGGGCTCCCCAAGGCACCTGCTTCCCTGTGCTCTCGTAGGGCTGCCGGGCCAGCACCTCTTGTACAAGGCAGAGCCTCAGCAGTGGTTTTCTCCAAGATTTTTAGAACAGCTTTTCCAATCACCATTTGACATGTTTAACACATTTTTTTCCCCAATTGATAATGCTGATATTTCTCTTTGATATCTTTGGCCATTGCTTAGAAGCGTATGGAAATATTCGGACCAGCAGCATTATCTAAGAGAAACACTTCTCCAAATGCTGATTTTCCCCTGTACAGCAGCATTTCCCAATATATTACACATTCCTATTCGGCATAGTAAACTTACTGACCAGCTTTGCAACTGCTGAAGCTCTTCAGCTTCAAGAGAGCAGCAGTCCTAAGATTTCTGCCATGCATGACAGTGGCAAAATCTTTCAAAGCCCAGAGGAAGGAGCAACCATCCTCACTGTGCAGTTCATTGTACAGGTAAATACATGCAAGACCATCAAGGAGACATCTCCATAGCAATGTCTGTCTTCCTGTTTCTACATACACCACCTGCCTGACATGAACCACTTCCTCTGCAGCTTAGCCTTTTGCTTTCACAGACCATCTCCTTTCACCTGCAACAAGTATTTTGCCTTCTAAATTCCCCCTCCATTTGCAGTCAGTGGTGTTTTTCATGTTGAGACTAAATGAAGAACACAAACGCCACAAGGTAGGGACACACTGGGACCTATGAGGACAGAAGGAAGCCGCAGCTATTTGCAGCACGCAGACAACCCCCAGAGCTGTGTGCGGCTGAATCACAGCAAACTCTGCAGCAAACGGAGGGCCACTTTCCACGGACACCTCCTGACCTGAGGTCACACAAATTAATGAGCGTGTAATGAGGTCAAAAGACCTAGGAGTGCCATGATCTGAAGGAAGCAATTCTTGGCATAAACCTTGCTTTTTTCTTTTTATGGTTCAATACCACAGCATTGCAGAAGCTGAATGTTCAGCTGAAAGAGCAGGAGACAGATTACCCTGGAAGCCTCTGGATAACAGGATTTCCAAGAAGCACTATGGGATCTCCAGTGAGTCAAACCTTTTCCACACTTCAGTTCTTCCTCATGCATACAGCAGATTTTTGAAATGACTGCTTTGTTTACAGCCATTTCTTCAGAAAGACAAACATGAGTTAAGCTCTCACAATCTTTTTAGCCTACCATTCAGCTATTAAAGCCTTAACAGGAAAGTAACCATTTTTTTTTAATAGGAAAATATAAAATAACCAAATTGAAGCCAGAGGAAGGAATTATTTTCTTATATATATAATATATATATATAAAAGCTCATCTGCTCTTGCATAGGGCTCTCCCCCACCTCTCTCCTGGAGCCCCACAAAATCAAAACCCCGTTTTCACAGAATGCTGAAGAGCTGCTGGAAATACAAGATGGGAATGAACCTGCTCAGTCATCTGGACTTTCCTTCGCAGACTTGCGTTTATGAACACCTATACTGTGCAGAAACACTTGGCCCTTGCTCTTCCAACACCAGTCTGCACCTCTCACCCCTGGAACATCCTCACAGAGCATGTCAGGGAGGAATCTTGTGCTTGGCACTTTTCAGTACAAAGCAACCTCACAGAGAAGAGCTGGACTGAAGAATTAAGCACTCACCTTGGACATCAGCTTCAAGATCTTTTGCTGATAGGATATCAGCAAGCAAATCCATGGATTTGCCTCCATGTGAACACCTGAGCAACTCCCTTGCTCTCTCTCTTCCTTGGTTCTTGTCCTAAATATGGGACTATCATCCCAGTCAAAATTCAGTCAAAATTCCTTGGACTCATCAGTGCCCCAGAACAGCCAGCACAAAACAGCTCAGGTCCCTCATATTCCTGGTGCTAAGCATGAAGAATTAACCTGTGGCCACTCACTTCAGGGCCTACAAGAGGCTTTGGCATTTGTGAGTACACAGCAGGCAGCAGCTGTGCTACCTCTGCACAGCCTGGGCCATGGTGTCCATTCTGCTCCAGGCTGTTCTCACTGAACTCCCAGTCTCACCACATGCAGAGTCCACCCAACACTCCTTATTCTCTTTCTCCAATTAATTCTGAATAAAACACCAGTGTAGAAATAATCACTGGAAACATAGACATGTGCTTTACAAATCTCAGTTTATTCTTCTCTCTCTGACAATCAGTGCTACTTAACGTTACTCACATTTTATGGTGCAAGGGAACAGAAGTGATTACAACATTGTTCAAATGAGCTGCAGTTCAGTGGAAAGGGGGATCACTCTGAGTCCTGGATCCCAGACAGTCTCCATAGGTTGACGATCTGCAATAAAGAACTGCACAGCCAACATTTGAAGGAGTTGTTTATAATACAGGCCATCTCCACAGCACCTCCAAGGGAAGCCTGTTTTTCTCCCCAGGCATCACAACACTCACAGCTGCATCCAGATACCAAGCAGTCACAGCAGCTTATAAAATGTTGGTAAGACAATTTCAGTTTAGAGCTGAGATGAATAAAGAGCAAATGATAAAATCTTTAAGGCACTTAATCTCATGTAGGGCAAGGTCTGACCAATAGAATGGGAAGCTGGTCCTAGAGTTCCCATGTCCTAGAAGAGAGGGTAGATTCCCAGCCTGGCCAGCAGTGTCTGGAGTCAGCGTACAGCCACAGCAGCCATCGCTGCTTGGAAAGAGGAAACAGGATGCGAAGCCAGGCAGCCCCAGCACTTGGTAAAATGATTGAAAAACCTGGTTATGGCCAACAGGACACCCTTGGGGATACGGCGTGCAAAACAGCTCCTATCAGTAACCACAGTTGTCAGGAAACTCTGTGCGAAGGCAATCATGGATGACATGGAAATTTCATTGTGTGATATTAAAGAAAGGAAAAAGAGGCACTTAAAGCACCCACCTGGAACACATAGCCACGCTGCACTGGCTGCACAGTGCCTGCTGCTGTTCACATTCACGAAACCAAAAATGCGATCTGGGAACACAAAAGCGGCTCCCTCTGCAGTTGCCGACTCGCTGGCTCTGGTCATAGTGCGGGAGGGAAGAACCCATCCCTGCAGGGACACCAACCCACACACCTACGAAATGAGGCTGTTTAGAGGCAATGTCACTGCTTTCTCAGATAGAGCAGACAGTCAAAGAGCAGCCAACCTTCCTGGCAGTACCAGGAAAACAAAGGAAAGCTGTGACTGACCCATTTTCCATCAAATGGAAACTCTGCTTTCGTTTCCCATTTTAGCTTCTCCTTTTGATACATCTCTTAGCAACAGCTCTGCTGTGTCCTCACGAGCCTCTCCTTGTAAGGAAAAGCAAGAGCCCATTAATGAGCCGAATCTAACACTGGGGAGATTGTTGACCTAATTACACCAGCAACATTATTAGACCCATTATGTTAACCTTCCGCCACTGTCAAAAGGAAAACACCTTTCAACTTTAATCAGAGCATCAGGAAAAAGGCAAGAACAAGGAGCCAGAAACGCCACGCCTTGATCTGTATCCCACAATACAAGACTCAAAGCCATAACCCAAAGTGCAAACGCATGCACCTACAGATGTATCAGCACTGGGTGCAGAGCAGCTGTGGCTAAGTGAGCTCTAGGCCGTGTGCGTGAGCGCTGGGAGGATGCCTGAAGGCCGCCCCTTCACAGCGTGGCGCCGGGAACGTAGAGCCAGTCGGCGAGCGCCGTGGGCAGGTGCGTCACGGCCTGCAGCCTCACCCACCAGTAGGTCTCCATGGGATTGTAGCGGCTGTTGGGGCGCGCGGAAGTGAGCGCCTCAGTGATGTCGTTCAAGACCAGAGACATGTCCTTCAGGCCGCTGGTAACGAAGGACTTCATGAGGGCCACGTGGCGAGCGAAGTACGCGTGGCCGTAGTCCTCCCGCACCACATCACTGGCCCCGTTCCACAGCACCTCCGCCTCTGCCTCGATGCCCTCCGCTGTCAGGATGCCCGTCGCTGCCACGAAGTTGCTGGGCTCGATGAGGATGACTCTGACGCCCCAGCGGTACATCTCCTGCCGGAGGCAGTCGGAGAAGGCCTCTACCCCGAACTTGGAAATGCAATAGCAGGAGCGAGACGGACTCACCATCCGCCCCAACATGCTTGTGATATTCACCACGCGACCTGCGGTGGGAAGAGCAGGAGAGAAAATCAGCTGGCTGCTCTCAGCTAGGAGGCCAGGACTGGTTATAGGGGAGCCAGCCAAAATGTTCTATTAGAAACTGTGTTGTTAGATGATGCCAAGTTGTAAAATCTGAATCTTCTGAGGGGTGCCCAAATCCCCTCTCGAGGAGTCCCTGTGTCCTTATTCAAGCAAGCCTGTGCCCTGCATGGATGACACAAACATCTGCCTCCATGTCCAAAAGAATTTACAAAGCATGCAAGACATCCTCCTCTTCCTAGCTTCCAAGCAGGGCAGTATCCAGATCCTGAGGTGCTATTAGCTGTGTGCTCTTAGCTCAGCGTGCCTCACTCCTCCACCTCGCTGGGCAAGGGGTCAAGCTCACAAGCAGCAGGATTACAAGCCGGGGGGTACAGGACTGATGCCGTGCGAGCTTCCCAGCTTTTCTGTGAGCACAACAGCTCAGCTGCAGTGCCTAGTGCAGCTAGGCTGCTTCTGCACCTGAGCTGGGTGCAGAGAGCCCTTAACCTGCAGCACCAGCAGTGCAGTTTGTTCACCCATCTGGCCAGCCAGGAGCACCCACAGAGCTCTGTGGCTGGGATAGAGGAGAGGAGACGCTCTGGGCTGCTACAGGACAGGGAAAAGCAAGGTGCCCAGGGCAGCCCGCTGCAGAGCTCTGGCAGCTCACAATAGACCGTGCTCTGTCCAGGGGCAGTGACAATAGCGGTCACGCCGCTGCAGGCACGCCGCCCTTCGCCAAGACCAAGCCATTTGCAGTTATGGTTTCAGCTGCATTTACAAGCAGGCCCTTGACACTCCATCAGCTACTTTTGCAGAGAGGACATTCACAGCCATGGAGCACATTCCTACAGAGCTTGAAATTTTAGCTGAGGAGCATGAGGGAGGCTGTTCTCTCATGGAAGACCTTCTAAGTGCAGCTCAGAAGGACTATAAGCACCACATATTGGCCTGATGGGTAAGTTACCTTTTGTGCAACTTACCCATGAGGCTTTTTTAACAGGTACTTACATTCTGGAAATAGCTGCTGAGAAATCCTCTCAGTGTAACCCCTTTCTGTCCTCACGGAGCACAGTTGTGCCAGCATTCTCCCACACATGCTAAATAAAGAAGCCCTTCAGAGTTCTGCTCATACACTCACATTCTTTATATTTAAAAAAAAAAAGACTCAATAATACTGTCTTTCTGTAAGACAGCTAAAATGCCTCTGTTACTGTCATTTATTCCAACACTACAGCTTAGCAATCAAATGCAAACCAAGTAACATGAGGGGAGTGGCTCCAGTATAAGCATCTGGTACCACTTTGCAGGCCAAGGTATCATATGCCTGGCCTCCAATTACTGGTCCTAAAGGTCTGTGTCCCACAGGTCCTGTTTGTAGCTGTCAGCATTGCACAAACATTGCTGAGACCCTGGGATGTTTAAGATGGCCCCTGCTATGTAGGTGCCTGGACTGCCTCCCTGGGTAACCCGGGGTTCCACCGAATCCCAACACAGCCCACTGAACCTTGCTGCCCACCTTGCTCACATGCCTCAGACTCCAAAGCCTCCCTCCTTGGGCTGCACAGGCATTCCCCACAGTAGAATTTGATCCATAGTTTTTAACCACTTATCTTTGTTGCACTGCAAAAGTGCTGTGGCTCTTGCCCCCCTGCTCAACATGTACCTTTAGCTCTGCGAACAAGGGGCAGGAAGGCCTTGGTCACTCTCACAGTGCCCCACAGGTTGATCTCTGCCACTTCCTTGTACTTGTCCAAACTCGTGAATTCCACCTCTCCAAAGGTCGAGACACCAGCATTGTTCACCAGGCCCCAGAGTCCTGCCAACAAACATGTGGTTAAAGAGTGGAACGAGGAAGAGGGTCAAAGAGAAACAGCTTTAAGCTCTAAGCAACCCAACTCCTTGACAAAGAACTGGACACTTTTGCAGAAAGGAAGAGGAAAAGCTTTGCAAGGAGAGGAAACGGGCTCCGGGGCCCAAGAAGTGAAGGCTGCAGGATTCAGCTGGAGCTCCAGGGGTCACAACAGCACTGCCCCACGAACACCTCATGTCCCCAGGCCCACTGCTGCATCTGTGCTTTCTGTGTGACTTTTCTCTTTCCATGAAGAAGAGAGAAACGCAGACAAGAGTCTTCAGGGAGTTTTGACATTGCTATCACAAATGCCCATGTCATGCTACCCTGCTGCTAAGTTTATCAAGCACTCTTGAAGCTTTTGGGGCTGTATGTCCTGCCTCTGCTCCATAGCCTCCCTGCTCTGATGTTTGTAAACCTGTCCTGTAAATTTGTCATCACATAACAACCATGTAGCGTCTGAACATGGCAAATTGCAGCTTTCCACAGCAGCCAATACATACCATGGAATTTATCCTCCTGGTGCATTTAACACCAGTGTGCCCTTGCTAGACTGCTTGTCCATTCTCACTGTGGCCCTCCCTCTGCCCCATTCCCAGGGGAGTTCATCCTCCTGAATGCTTCTGCCAAACACTGTATAATGGTTTGCAAAAGGTCCTGCCCAATTCAGGTACAACAGTAAATTAACCATTCCTGCCCATCTACCCCAGAATGGATTTTCCTGTTCACCCCTCACAGCTGCCACCAGGCCAGCTTTTTCCATCTATTATGTGGTCGCCAACTCCCACCTCTTCCCTGCATTTCTGTCTCTGTCCCTAGCTCACTTCATTAGCCTGCAGCGCTGTTCTCCCCCAGATCCATCATTTCTCAATCCCAGCCAGGCCATGAGGAGGCTGTTTGGGATAACAGCTAAGGGATTACTTGCAGCAAAAGCCAAGAAAACATTTTGCCTGCCTATCCTTGCTTCTGTTTTTATTAATCAGTTTCTAAATGCTGCACTTGGGTGCTGCTGCTTCCATCCAGCATACCCTGCCTGTCACTGCTGCCCTTATTGGCACTGCTAGCATTAAGGAGACAGGATCTCTCTGAAATAAATCCACGCTCTACTAGCTGGTACAGCATCTCAGCCTGAACTGGGTCCCCTGCGCTGCTTCAAAGCATGCTCTAATCTCTACAGGGTCATGTAAACTGGCATCTACTGGTGTCATTTCACAGGTAACAAGCTCCACACAGTAAACTTGGCAGGGATTTACCACAGACCACAAAGACAGCTACAGTGATAGTCACAAACTAAGTTTGCAGAGTAGTTTCTGGTTCCAAGTTTTTCGACAGCTATTTCTTGTGTAAACAGGTTAGATTTAGGAACACTTACAAAAAAGTAATTTAAAATGGTTCGTTCTTCTTGGCATTTCATTGCTACAAATCAGGTCATGTTATACAGTACAAAGTGCTGACAGTTACCTCGTCCCTAAACCGTCTGCAGGACAGTGATGTGTTCATAGAGCAGAGCTTTATCATTATTAATTTTTTTTACTGTGAACAGAACAGTGGGAACTGGATAAGATCAAAAGCAAACAGTGGCACTCCCATCAAAATGAGCTTAGACTCAAAGGATGTATGCACATAGCAAAGCAGGAAGAGGTATGAATGTTTAAACACAAGACCTGTTCTGCACTGGCTCCCTTGGGGCCATTTTGTAGTGTGCAACAAGTGCCCCCACGCAAGGCACTTCACTCTGCATACAGAGTATTTTCCTGCGCCTGTTTAATGGGCACTGATTATTGGCAAGTCCCAAGCACCAGTCACACTTACACTCCTGAAAAGAGGCGTTTGCTGCTTTGCACACAGTGCTGCAGCAAACAACAAGAACATAAGGCTCTCGGAGCAGGAGGGACTGGCCCAACTTGCTGATCAAGGATGCAAAATTTCTGTGTCCCTGCTGGGCACAAGGTTTCGTAAACACTGCATTCATAGAAGCAACAGAGCTGCTCCCTTGCAAACTGTGAGGCAGTGGGAAACAGCTGTGAGCTACTGCCATTGCTGAGTTCTTCAGGAAAAGCTTGAGAAGCTACAAAATGTGTGACAAGGGTAGGACGACTGTGTAGGAAGAAGAGTCATGCAGAGCGAGTATGGGTGGGAAATGGCCCTGGCTACACTTCATGTGCTTGTTTCAGGAGGAGGGGAGTGTGCTCACACACTTTGCATGAAGGTTAAAACTGGTAAGTAACAGTAGCTCTACATTCCTGTGAACAAAGACAGGCCCACGGCAGCCTCACCCATGCCCCAAGAGGAACAACCACACCTTCACCACCCAGCCTGCACGGAGGCTGAACACAGAGACCCACGGGAGGCAAAACAGGCAAAAAGGGACTCCCGTCTTCTTCTACCCTTGGGCTGAGCTTACCTCATAAGGTGGCATGTGTTCTAAGGTGGTCTAGGCTGAGCCCATCCTGGATACTGCCACTGGACAGTTGGCTGGCAAAGTGAAAACAGGGATTTTATCTGGCTGCAGAATGATCCCGCCAGGTTTGGGGGAGCCAGGTTTCCAGTCCAGCTCAGCATTCAGTCACACCAAGAGGCTGAACCAGCACAGGGATGGCACGGACAGACAGCAAACCAGCCCTGACTTCATTAGGCAGCAGGGTCACCACAGAAAGCTCTGTGGGACCCACACTCCAAAGAAGCATCAGAAGGGCATCAGGCTCTCCCATATCATATGGCCCTCACAGATACTCAAGGGCAAACAATTGCTCTCCTGGGCTTGCTGCCACCTAACACTTTCTCGCAGGGAGAAAGAAACTCTAGGGGGTCCTGGTCTCTTCCCACATGGCTGGCATGTCAGTGGGAAGCCAGTACTGCCCAGGGACCCGAGTCCTGCATTAGCCAGTCACACGCTGTCCCAGGCATCCAAGTCTGTGAATACGGTTCTGGCAACGCAGGGACAGCCTGGCCAGAGCAGCACCTGCTCCGGGCAAGGGGCCGGTGAGCACACCAGGGAGCCGGCTGGCTCGGGGAGACTGGCTTCCCACACACCTTTCTCTGGCTCCTTCAAGTTCCTCTTCACAAAATCGACAGCTTGAGCCACTTCCTGGTCACTGCACACATTGACCTGCAGCACCTTCATGCGATCCGACTTCAGGTTCCTCAGCTCCCTGGCTCCATCGCCGTTCTTATCCTGCTTAACCAAAAACAAAACAGCTTCTGGTAAGAGACGCTAGTAGCAGTAATGCATTTCGGGGCCAAGCATGTTCACATAAGTAAGAAATCAGGGCTATTAAAATTGCACTTAGAGGCATGCAGAGAGGCAAACAGACACGTGAGCCATATTAACCATCATGCAGCCCACGTTAGCATCCTCTTCCCTCCAGCACAACTCCTACCTCGCTATTGCTGACCCACTGCCTTGAAAGGGCAGCAGAACCTCGTCCTGCTGGCTCCCTGCACAGAGGGTCACACAAGTGGCACTGTGCCAGGCACTGGGACAACCTGGGGAAACCTCAGCTGCCCCTGTCCCCACGAACACTTTCACACAAGCAGTCTCAACTCCATTTTCTAAGATAGATGTGCAACAAAAATAAAACATTTCAGCCATTAATTAGAATAGCGAAGAACCGAGCAAAGATTAGCCACGTGGTTCTACCACAGGCTCAAGATTTAATTCACCATATTACTCCCTGCATCGCAGGCTCTGTTTCACTAGGGAGGAGGAAGTTATGAATTGGTGAGTCACCGTGCCTGGCTGCCACTCTTCCCCCAGCACTGGATACCACCTCCCACAGAACAAGGGCAGACAAGGTAAGCAACCCACTCAGCTGCCTCTGCTGCAAGGCTGATGCAAGAACTGCAAAACTGTTCAGCTTTTCCACATGCATCTCGGATTGTCTAGCTAATGAATATGATATAAAAGTTCTTCTGTTCATCTTCAGTTCAGTAAATGATGATTTGTGAAGAAGGAAGAGCACCTAAATTCCTGCCTCAACCTTAAACAAAAGAGGGTAATTCTGTTGCAGCAATACATAATTGATCCAGATTTATGACAATAGGGATGAATTTCTGCCCCCAGTTGCATATCATTTCACAGCTGAACTACTTTTAAATATCACAAAACCAGAGCACAAAAACTTGAAGCTTTCATCACAGAGGTAATTCCCAGCAACTTTCCAGGCAACTCCCAGCCTCCCTTCCCCAGTTCCTTCCTGAAAGCTCCCCCCAGCCTCGTGCCACTCTCCAGAGACACCTTTCTAAAATAACTTTATCCTGCCCTTGCAGCCCTGCAAGGGGCTGTTGCTGGTCAAACCCAGTCTGCACAGCCTAGCCAGAGCTCAGAGGCTCTCAGCAAAACAAGCCCTCTCTGCCCAGCAGAGAGGACTCGCTCAGGCCCTCTGCTGCCTTCCTTTCCCTTCGCTTGTTCACTCCTGTGCTGCTTATAAGGATCCTGATGCAGCTTGTGCTAATGGAGAGGCAGGACCACAGACCATGGCTTGCTTTTTTTTTTTTCTCCAGGGAAGGTGGTGGAATTCAGCAGTAGATTCCAGCAAGATTTTGGTTATCTGCAGTGAGACTTCAGTGGGAATCAAACAGCGCTGAAAAGCTCAGAACTGGAAAAAAATAAAATAAAAAAAAAGAACACCACCACACCGCTCCTCAGCTGCTTACCCTGAAGGCAACCCCAAAAGCAGCTTGTCACTGCGCTCACGCTTTCCCTCTTGGTTGTGTCTCGGCATATATGGAGCTGGCCCAACACTTCATACCCATGTCCACATCCTCTCCTGAAAATGAGGTCCCTCCATCCAAGATTTCTGAGGAGCTCAGTCTCGTGGGCTCCCACAGGCACAGTACACGTGAAGGGGATGCTCTTATTTGAAGGAAGAAACACAGATCCTGGTTACAGGCTCCCAGCCTTACGGTTCACACCAGCCTCACCAGAGAGGTTGCTCTGGCAGGGGCAGCCCCACTCTGCCTCTGCCAAGGAGTTTCAGTGCAGGGCAGCAAACACTTCAGAACAGCTCGGCCACAAAGACTGCAAAGGAAAGCAGGACTGGGCAGCCTGCTGCTGAGGGCACTCATCGAAACACAGTCTGCACCTTTGCTGCTGCAAATTAATCCCACTTCTGCACGCCCTTCCTCTTGTAGCCAGAGTGAATGATTAACTAGCCTTCTTTTGATAACAACTTTCTCCTTGTCTTCTCTTTTTCAGTTTAAATAATCTCATTTGTTTTTTCAATGTTTCCTCATGGGTCTTACTCTAAACGTCTCATCACTACCCTTGCTTGAGTTTACACATATCTTTGGTATAATACAGCATCTAGAATCAGACACCATGTCCCAGCTGAGGTCTTACCTGTGTTGCACAGCAACTTAGACATGGCTTTGCTATGACTGCTTCCCAGGAGATCTGCCCTATTCTGTCCATGTCCCTGACCCTTTCCATTTGCCCTCCCTTATCAGCACCAGTTTCCTGTCAGTCTGGCTGCTGCCCAACCACCTGTTCCCATTTTGTGGTTCCTAAGCAGGATACTTCACACTCACCGTTATTAGATTTCATCCAGTTGATTTCGACTGATCTGTAAAGATGATCCTGAATCCTAATATATTCTCCCCAAAGTCTGCAGTCCTCCCTGCACGGCACTATGCACTTTTTTTTTTTTCAATTCATTTTTCTCTTCCAGGGGCACTTCCAGGAAAGCATGACCACTTTTTAGCACAGGGACTGCAAAGCAGTTCCAGGCCCACTCACAAAACCCTCAGCAGTAGCTCACGATCCTAGATGGGCCCAAAAGGGCTGGTATCAATCACTTCATAACAAACTGGGCACTACTTCAGTCTAGCTAGTTAATGAATGATGGGCTGCGCCTTGCGGCTTCTCCTTCAAATACCCTCCAAGCAGGAACACAACTTTCCAAGCATCTATTGGCAACTGATACACTTAGGCCTTACACCATCAGTTTGCACATGAAAATATCACGAGCTACTGTGTCAGAACACTTCAGATACACATTTACTCCTTCACCTTCTATGTCTCTGATACTTAGCTTATCACAGAATGAAATTGAACTGATACGGCACAGCTTGCTCTTGGTAAACCTGTAATGGCAGTTTGTATCACACTATGCTCTAGATACGTTCTAAAAATTATTGTTGTCTGTGCTGCAGCTTCATCCGGGGAACTGAGGATGAGTTGCCACATTGGTGATTTTAGAGGTCTGTCTTCCTTTGAAAGGGAGGTTTCATATTTGTGCTCTTCCAGTCTGCTGGGAAAGCCCTGGCTTCCACAACCTCCTGCAGACACCACCTGGAGCGCAGAGATCACTTGGGCTCACCCCTTACATGTTCTCCATCACATTTCAGCAGGTTTGGTAGCCTGAACATTTCTACTCATACAAACAGCCTATTTTCCTTTTCCATCCCATAGAATGGAAAAAAAAATGTATTTCCCCATGAAAATCATTAGCATTAAACAGCTGAATACAATATACTTTTTTCCAGTATAATTAAAGAAAATAAAACATTGACTATTTCAGAATTTTCTACACTTTATATTCTTCAGTTTCTTTTGTAAATCATCTATATGCTCACCCACCTTTTTAATTATAATACTTGAACAAAAACTACCCCTTGGGCTCACTTGTCCTTGCTAAATGAAATACTCTTTGCGCTTGACCCTCTCTAGCTCTTGTCTCTATCCACCTGCAGTATCCTTGTTATTCTTGTGACTTGTGATCATTAAAAAGCTGCAGAGGCACTTCATGGACCACCAGCTTGCATTCAGTTTAAGAGTTTTCTATGACTGCTAGGACTCAAGGGATCCTTCAATTCTCAGCATAAAAGCATGAAAGTAAGTGATGACAGAGTAACTATGTGTGAACTTGAAGCCTGGCATATGCTCCATACCTGCTCTGACCCTGCAGGGAAACTACAGCAGCTCATTCTTCTTCCGTGACAGGGCAAGTTTCCTTTAACTGCTGTGAGCAGTTACATGCTGCATCCTTAGCTACATGGCTTCATCTATCCGCAGTATTCACTCAAATGCTCATAACTCACTCTTTGCAGTAAGAGCTTCGTGCCTTTACTGGTGTTTCTTGCTTCTTTTGGAACTCATTAGTATTTTCTGCAGTTACTGTATCCTTCCTTTTCTTGCAAAAGACAGATCCAGGTGTGAAATAGTTTACCTGAAGTGCATTCTGCTGTTACGCTTGTAGTAAGTTCCTCCTCATTATATATATATATATATACCTCTATAATATATAGATCATATATATATACACATATATATATATATCTTTCTAGTATGTCCCCAAACCGCCTAAAGCATAAGGCTGTTCCATGGAGATGTTGGCCATCTCACGAACTATGGACAGCATTCTGCTGTATCACTCTGCACTGTGTTACAACCAGATCCTGTCCCTCAGATGCACCTAGCAGCAACAAAAAACCAAACAAACACAAAAACAGTAACAACAGCAGACAAACTAGGCCTGGGACACTGAGCCTGGGTCTCCTGCTCCCAGGTCCAAACAACCCAGAGGAAGTTTTGAAAGACAGTGAAGATGAGGGACGGTGCAGACAGAGAAGCATATTTGAGATCTGCCAGGGAGCACAGCACAGAACAAGAGTCACATCCTCACATTCTCTCCTTCTTCACAAAAGAAGGGGTTAGTTGATCTCCTGAAAGCTATGGTGAATCAACCATGCCTGCTGAAGCATTTCCACTTCAGCACAGAAATTAAGTAGGGACCACAAAATCTTTGGGTCTGAATTAAGATACCACCAGACCAGATGTGGGGATGCTGAGGACAGCCATGGCATTGTGGGACAGGCAATCCCATGATGAAGAGGCAATGTTTGTTTGTTAAAATGAGCAAGTGAGACTCATAGGGTACACGTAGTTCATGTACGTGGCTTTAAAGAGAGTCTGGCCTTCTGTGCTGCCTTCTGGAGCAGCATTCTCAGAATCATTGCATCCCCTTTTCTTTCTATCCCTCATACCTGCTGCTCTGCAATATTTGTGTCTGACTTGCTATCACAAAAGATGCAGACAACCCAAAGCAGGGTATGACGTGAGTACAGAAGGATTTAGAGCGGCCATATGGAAATTTCCAAAGAGCGGCAACTTTCCAGCAGGACTCTGTTGCTCTCAGATTACACAATATGTCAGCTGATCATTTTCCCCGCTGCTATGGCAGAAAAACGTGACCTCTGCCGAACTCAGGCGGGCAGGGAGCGCTACCCTTCACACACCTTTATTGTTCTTCCCTGCTACGCTACTTGAAAATCCATAGCCACTGCTCTCTGAGCACCTGGACTAGAACAGCTGTTCTCAAACAGCTTCTATTCCATTTTAAAAGTTAAAAAAGGTCATTTTTCTTGTCCTTTGTTAGCACTAAAATTCAGGGTTATTAGATTATTACACTGCCAACTGAACTCACTTGTTAATTT